CTATTCAATTTTGACGTTTCAAAAGTACCTATTTATGGTTTAGTCAGAATAAATGATTTTGGCTTTTGACTTTGTCTTCGAATAAAAACGTGTTCCACTATAAGACCTTATTTTAAGTGGACAAAATCGTAGACAGAAACTAGTAGCGAATAAAAATAAAACAATTAAAAATAGAAGTACCAACTAATTATTGTTTTACAAATTAATTGAAGTCTTACTAAGATAATGAAGAAACAATATTATATAAATTTAGTATTCATTCAAGATAGTTCATTATATAAATTCATTAGTTCAGCTTAGACTGTTTTAGATTTTCAAAGTGTTTATTTGGACCTTTTTTCAGTTAATTATGTTTAATTAAAACTATTTGAGTTAGGAGTGCTCGGTGGCATTAATTAAGTTAGTTGTAAAATAATCAAAGCATTGTTAGAAGAAATTTAGGCATTTTACGACTAGTCTGATAAGTGATAACAGACTATTATTGAAATGTCAAAAAACTATATTTTTCTTTGAATTTTGTATGAAATGCTAACTTATATTAATGCCGTAATTGTTTTTCATCGAAATGGCATACTTATTTCTTTAACAAAATACTAGGTTTGGCATACTTACTTATTTCTTCAAAGCGAATTAATTATCTTAGATACTCAGACCGTGTGATGGCCCGGAGGTTAAAGCGCCCGCTTCTTATGTTGCCAGGTTCGAAACCTGGCAAGTACCAATGTGACTTTTTCCGAGTTATATGTACTTTCTATGCTTATTTAGACACCACTGGCATACGGTGAAGGTAAACATCGTGAGGAAACCTGGACTTATAATTTCTAATTATAAGTTTGAAATCGCCAACCCGCATTGAGCAAGCGTGGTGATTAATGCTCTAACCTTCTTCGTGTGAGAGAGAGGCCTTTGCTCAGCAGTGGGCACTTATGAGCTGATGATGATGATGATGACTCATACCGTGTTAACAATTGACTAAAGTTTAATTACTTTTATCAATTTTTGTATTTAAAAATAAAAATATATTTTCACTGACTAAAATAAACGTAAAATGTTGGTAAACATTTTTTTTATTTATAAAGAAGGTGTACACAATTGAAATAAGATTTCAAGTTGACGGTTTTCTACTTCAAATAAGGTCACATAGGTATGTGACCTTTTCAAACACACACAAAAACTCGAAAATATAAAAACATTTAAGAAGACGTATCTAATATTTAATATAACATTACGCTAGAGGAATAAGACAGTGAAATAAAAATAAAAATCAAAAAGACAAGGGTCGGACCCCAAGGGACTGTCACTGTCCTTCGTGTTACGGACTTGTCCTATACGTAAACGAAAATGAGGACATAATAAAATGTAGACAACATCGTGTAATGATGAATATCCTCTATTTTATGATTCGAAGAATAGGTCACCCGTTTTTGACGTGTTTGTGTGCTAACAGACTCGAGTGACAATTCAATCAATATTTGTACTTACGTTCTTTTTTCAAATTATTCTTGTTTGAATCGTAAATGTTTTTGTAATAATTGTGTTAATGTGATTGGTTTATTTGGCATTAGTTTTATAAATTAAGGTTTTTGATGGGAGGTTTCGAATTTTGGCAATTCATCCAGTGATTCCAAAGATTAGCCCTTCACACAAAATATTTAACTCTTTATAATATTAGTATAGATAAAAATAAACAACTTTTTTTTTATGTAATAAGTCGGCAAACGAGCAGACGGATTACCTGATGGTAAGCAATCAGCGCCGCCCATGGACACTCGCAACGGAGGAGTTACGAGTGCGTTGCCGACCTTTTAGGGATTAGGGATTTGGAGATTTAGGGATTGAGGAGGGATTGGGGAAGGGGAAGGATTGGGAAGGATTGGACTGACAAGAAAATTCTGTCAACTTTCTCTCACTTCACTCTTTTGTTTCGAAGACGAAGTTATTTTTCCCAGCTGTTAAAAAAAACAATCTGTTTACTACAGTCCCAACATATTAAAACCTCATTAGCCACACCAGAGCTTATACACATAAAACACAGAATAGCTAACCTGAAACAGAGAATACGAATAAGGTTTATTTCCTAAGAAAATATTAAGAAACGTTTCCAGTCTCCTCTGACCGTTAGGGGCGTGGGCTGGATTCACGTACAATTGAATTGTGGCTTCAGGTACAAGTTAAAGCGTTTTACAGTATAATAGTGGTACTTAATTAACCAATATCATCTTTGCTTAAAAAAAAGTATCTATTAAGATATTTATATACTTTTTATATCGTTGGCAGAGTCCTGATTGATTAAAATATAAATAAAAAAAACATTTGATCACAACGTAAATTGCAACCTTCTTGGATGATCTGCAGTGGTCCAGGTGACTGCGAACAGTATTACTATAGGGCTAGCCGTATTATGTTCTGTAGCTATAATATAGTTTAAGCAAAATAAAAAATGGTTGTTACATAATAATAACACAATTGCTAGCTTCATATCATTCAAATTCAAATTCAAAAGTGTTTATTTGCAAGAATTACATTGTTTTTAAGGAAAGGTCTTATATCCTTAAAGTCACTGCATTCAGCCTGCAAGCAAGCGTGCAAATTATTTATATTTATGTCATTAAATTATCTACGTTATGCAATTAATTCGTTATTATCATAATTATACAATATTAATAAATTCGATTAATGTAAGAATGTAATAAAAAAGTACACTTAATATATATATACATTATGTTAACTATTATTTTATTATTACTACATTTCAACCACAACTTTTTTGATGTGACAGGTCGGCAAACGAGCAGACGGATTACGTGATGGTGAGCAATTAGCGCCGCCCATGAACATCCGCAACAACAGAGGAATAACGAGTGCGTTGCCGACCTTTTGGGGATTAGGTGTTGGGGTATCCTTATGGATTAAGCTTTCGGTAACCTCACTCACACGGCGAAACACAACGCTGTAGTTGTTTCATAACGGTTTTCTTTGAGACTTTTCACTGCGGTTGAGCCAAACCCATTCGTGCCGAAGCATCTCTCCCACACTTACGAGCAATATTTCTAACTGAATTTATTGAAGAACTAGGTACTCTTACTCGGCTTTACCCGCTGTTCAGCCTATAGCACTCAGCAACTTTGTAGCTATATATCAGTGAAAGAATTTTGGCAATCCGACAAGCGGTATAAAAAAAATCGCTTCATCGTCTATCTTGCACCAATCAACGAGAATGAAGAGCAATTGCTCGTGGCCCTTTGTCTCCTGTACGGTGCAGTTTATACGCCAAGATCGAGACGTGATCATCATCAGACTTAGTATATAGTCTAGGTATAGACAGCTGGGTGTTACCTCAATTTACAACCTTATTACAAAACAATAAAGACGTAATTTTGATGAAAAAATGACAGCCTAGAAGTATGTACCTATAGATAGACACATGCTGTAGATTAAATCGTGCCAATATACGACTTTATGGCATAGTTTTAAAGTTGAATTTAAAAAACATGTAGGCTTTTATTTGGTTGTTTTAGTTTTAAAGGCAGTCACTTTATTAACTTTATGAACACCAAAACGATTTCGCTTAAAAAATATATTATTCTTGTATTCTTACGGGGGGAGATACTACATGGCCGAATTCTTAACTTTGGGCATAAAACGAAAAAAATCGTAAGGGAAAAGCTATAATATAAATATAATACGACATAGTTCCTGCCAATGGCATCCTGTAGTACCAGGGTAAAAGGTTTTAAGACAATAAGACTCTGACACTCCTTGCCCCATACCAAGGGCGAGAAAAGCTATGAGACTAATTATTTGCTTCAATTATTATTATAAATTTAAAATTAAAAAAAACACCAAACAAAAAATCTAATATTCCTTTAAAAAGTAATAATTAAAAGAAAACGTGGCGTTGGTGGACCCATCCAACATTTTATTAACAACTACATATTTCTATTTTGTCGGGGGTCTAATTTATTATTTTATTTTGGTTTTTATAGGTATTTTATAAATATAATTTTCTCTCGATTAAGTCATCAACATTCACTTTCAGTGCGTTTTCATTTTACACCCCACTCGAGTATATTTGCAGACCTTCGGTTACCCTTCCCCACTTACCCCACCATAACTTCTAAACGGCTCAACCGATTTTCGTCAAACATGTATTGTCTAATAACACTCGCACGTAAGTCACCTTTAATACAAAAAAAAAACTAAATTGTAATCGCTTCACCCGTTCAGGCTCCAGGATGCCACAGAATCCTCAAATCCCTAATAACACACAAGAGGCCGGCAACGCATCTGTACTCCTTTGGTGTCTATGGGCGGCGCTGATTGCTTACCATACCACGTATCAAACATTTTATTGGTTATTATTATTTATTCATTAATAATATTTATTATTAGTTTAGTTATGATTCTGTAATTATGCCATTGACCATTATAATAATTAACACACCGGTTGCGGTTTTCTGTTGTTATGACATTTACGTAACCCAGGTTTTAACAGACAAGTCTTTGCATGTTATGTTAATGGCTATGACGACTCAGTAAAATAAGTGTTTCTAGATATCCTAATATAATTATTCTAGTGTTGTTACAGCTAATTAAGAGAGAAAAATAAGTATTTTATTTAATGCAAAAAAGGTGACATCACTATTTTGTCATTTTAGTCAATTTATAAAAATATCGTTCTTGACATTCCAAAAAAAATATTGCATTATTTCCATACTTCTATAGCGGTAAATCTAAGAATCAATCAATCTATAAGTGACAGATCACCACAGGATTAGTTTATAAGCGCACATTACTAAGCAAAGGCCCTTGACAAGGTTTAAACATTAATCACCATGCTGGCTCAAAACAGATTGGCAATTTCAAACTTACAATTTACAAAAATCAGTTTAGGTTTCCTCCTGATGTTTTCTTCACCGTTTGTCAGTGGTATCTAAATAGACTTACAAAGTACTTACACACGGAAAAAGTCGCCCCCAGATCTGGCCCCCCAGTCGCTATTAGGAGTGGAATTCTTTGACAGAGTCTGTGTTTCTGGGTGTTTTCAAGGCTCGAGGGAATAGGTTGCTTATGAGCAGGTGTGCTCCATCGTAGGTCGCATCATCGCTTACGACCAGGCGTGATGGCGGCAAAATGCCTGCCGATTACGAAATAAAAAAAAAGTCACATTGGTACTTGCCAGGCGCCCTAACCCTGGGCCAGTACACAGAAGTAGTCAATACTTCAAACTAAGTTGTAGGAGAATAATAGAAGTCCTGTTAACTGAAACTTCAATATATCGAGGACCTAGTGAGGAGAAACTTGTATCATGTATGATACACCTCTCAAGTAACATTTAAGATGATATTCAGTACATCTGAATACACACGATCTTAGACTCGCGTCTTGCAGGTCGACAACTTATGTTGGGAGTGATAGCAAAAACATCAATGTTTATTGGTAAATTATTTTTATTTACTGATGTTATTTTGTTCGTGAAGTTCATTAATTTATTACACTACCTTGTTGGTTGAGTAGATGCCGAGTAAGGTCCAGGTCGGCATGAGTAGAAGAAGAACACCACAGTGGGCTTAGACAGTAAAAGCCCAGCAAAACTCACATCATCGTCCTCATGGCGAGGGCAGCCCACGTTAAACGCAAGTATTATTAGTGTTTTCGGTAATTGTAATTTTAATTACCGAAATTGTAATTTTGTAAAAAGCCACCAGGAGACATTTTTAGTTTTTTTTAAAGTTGCGTATCAAATTAAATATAATTTTCAATCAAAATCCTTGTCATTTCGTCGTTTGGTCGTCACACAATACATTAAATCTGGCTCAACACTGCAAGCAGATTGTCAATAGTATGAAAACAAAACGTACCTATATTTATAAAAATGCAACACGCGGAAATATTCAACCGAATGAAATGTTTACAGAGGTTTTTCACGCTAAATAAATGAACGGGTGATACGCGAACGGCGACGAAATTCTGAAAAATTACGCCATTTTGCCTTTGAGTACTTTCGGAGTTTTTGCTGTCATTTTTCTGTGACATCACCTATTTGACGACGAAAAAAGTCATTCGACATCAGCACGGAAAAAAATGCAGCTCATCCGTTTTTTAATGGATGTAAAGTCTCGTTTTTTGGTAATAAAATAAAATTGTCGTGTTTGATAAATGGTCTTTTAGCAGATTTGGCTGCTGTTACAAAGTACTTACTTCGACCTTGTTTTGGTAATACTGAAAATTAAGCTTAAACAATGAATTTATTTTTGCAAATAGGCCATAAAACGGCACTTTTACACGTCAAATTATATGTGAAAAACTAGATGAAGCTTAAATATCGAATATGAGATTTGACAGAGCTAAAACAGTGAGATTTATTTGTCCAACATTTACCTAAAGCAGAATCAGATTGAAGAACACTAGGGCCAATGCGTGTCAGGATATTTTAAAGTTGTGACCATAACGTTAGCATGACAGTCGAACACCTGTAGGTACGAAGCGGGAGCGGTTCTCCAGTACCAGATGAAACCGATCACAGAAAATTATATTATTATGATATTCTTTGCTATCCATACTTTGAACGAGAATCAGCATACATTGAGTGAAAAGTTTGGTATCGCGAGGTTACGTCCAACTTCGTCGCCTTGTCGGTTCCAACATTACACGGGCTATTGGCACTCTCCACTAGAAACTTCCTCGATATCATAGTTAGGTACGTAATGGTTTTAATTTATAGATTCATGTAGTTTGAAAAGTAACTAACATTGTGTGTGAAGTTACGTAAATGGGTAGTTTATAAGATGTTTTTTTTTTTTTTTTGTGAGGGGAAAATCATCAAATGACTTCTTCCGCCCAGGGCCGGGCAGGAGGGAGTGTCAGACTCTTACTGACTAAAAACCCCCCTGTTCCTTCTCCTGCTCTGTGCCGAGGTCGCGGTACCTCATTGCGCTTACCCCGCAACCCCGGCTGAACATCAGCCCTTTAGGGCCCCGTCTGTGGTGGTCGAATGGCTCTTTGAGGCGCGCGCGGAACGCTACGCGCCGTACGCTCGGGCCTGGTTCTGGTCGGGCGGCGAGCTGCCCTTACTCGCCGACCGCAGGCCCGTACTTACGGTGGCCGGAGATCGTCCCTCGATCCCCGACGCCCGTAGTGTCGCCAGTTGCGGCTGCTGGGGCGTGAGGAGGAGGATTGCTCCCTCACGCGGGCCGCCTCTCTCTTTGCGAGCATGACTGCTTCACAAAAGGAGGAGACGGCGTCCCAGTTCCTCTCACTCCGCACCATGGCCTCGACTAAGGCCGGGCGCGAGAGGTCGCCGCCGCCGATCACTTCCCTGAGGATACGGCGGTGCTCAGCCCAGGCAGGGCATACCGCTACCGTATGCTCCACCGTATCCTCTAGGTGGTCCTCACAATGACGACACTCGGGCGTTTCCTCCCGCTGAATCCGAAACAGGAACCTACCGAAGCTGCCGTGCCCGGTAAGCACCTGCGTCAGGCGGAAGGTGAGGACGCCGTGGCGTCTCTCAAGCCACTCCTCAAAGAGGGGTCTTACCGCTGCTATGGTAGCGTGCCCGGAGTTTATAAGATGTTGGAGTATTTATTTATAGTCTTGAGACGTTGATTTGAGTGCACAATTAGTGTAGAGGCTGGGCAACTATCTGTTGTGCAACGTGTCACGGATAGGTACATCAATTATTGTTTCAGGTCTGGGTGATTAGTGTTTTGTAAACGCATCCACGATACAGAAGAAAATCGTAGATTGGGACAGAGCTTCTCCAAAAAGAGACATGTTAGGTTTATCGGTTTTTCATCATTAAAATAAACAGAAAAATAGAAAGGATTTTTATAATCTAAATTATTACACATTGTGTTTTAAGGTATTTGTGAACAAGAAAAAAGTGTTATATTTCTTTGTCAATTAAATAGTTTTTTGACGTCAATAGTCGTTGACGTCAAAAAACTATTTAACTGACAAATTAATTAACACACTTTTTTTTACAAGAAATAGTCAAATACAAACAGAACACAGCTCCTTTAAAATTTTCAAATATTTGTCCTATGACTTTTCCTCTGTCCTGACTATGAAACTTGCATGCTGCAACATTGTGAATTATTAACTAGCCGGCTACGACTAGGACGCGATATCCAGTTTTGTTGAACCAACTTCCACTGCAGTAATTTTTAAAACGACAAGTAAGTTCGCTTCTATTTCGTTGCCATCGTTCAATTCTACCAATTTTTTTGTTTAAAGTATCAACTCGTTCACTTATCAATTTAGGACAATAAGTTTCTTGCTTGATTGCTTGTTAGACTCGCTAATCTCCGGAACTACTAAGTACTGGTTCGAGTTCAACAATTCTTGATCTGTAGGATAGTCCATCTATAAAGAAAAGCCACACGAATAAGAAAGGAAGCCTAATGTCAAGAAAAAAAAGACACAATAATAATTTGCCTAATTAATTAACGTTCTGTATGTAATATGAATCAAACGAGCAGACGAATCACCTGATGGTAAGTGATTAGCATCGCCCGTGGACACCAGTTCAACGTATTGTAGGGCGCCCCCTCCAGCTAGGTGGACTGACGACATCCGCAGGGTGGCTGGCAGTCGTTGGATGAGAAGAGCTGAACATCGAGCTCAGTGGCGTGCAATTGGGGAGGCCTATGTCCAGCAGTGGACGACAACAGGCTAATGATAATGATGATGTAGATATACCTGCAACGTTAATGAAGTCACAAGCCACGCCGGCCTTCTAAGAAAGAGTACACTCGTTTCTTAAAGGTTTGAAGGTTGTATCGAACTTTATTCATCGTTCGTATTTTTCTAACCAAATGACCATTTTATTAGTCCCCAGAGTGTATTATCTAATAGTATTACTTCCGTAAACATTATAACAGGGGAACATTATGTGCAAGTAAAATAAAAATACAAAAAAAGAACTCCTATCATTTACCTTCCTCCCAATAACCATTGAAACGACAAGAAATTCGCAAGAGACGCATTTCTTAAACAAGATATTTGGACGAATAATGTCGTTGGCTTAAGAACACCTAAGGGATGAGTATAAATAAAGTCCTGCTTTAGAACCTTTTTAACTTCGAAGGGAATTACTTAGAATCGTCAAGTGAATCCTGTTGGCTTCAAGATTGTATTTTTTGAGCAAACTTAGGTACTACTATGCTCGTATAAAAACGACTTTGTCGGAATGGATTTAAAGTTTCAAACGAGTCATTTTAAAAATGTTTTGAGATAAATCTTCTAGATTGTGAGTAATAAAAGTTTTATTGGGTAATTCATCATCTGTGTATGTAAAGATTTTTTGTTTTATTCTTTCTTTTTTTCTGAATAATCTATCGTATGTTTGGTTAGGATTTGGTGTAAGCTCGTAAAAATATTATTAAAAACTATTCAACATGAAATTTTAGGAGTCTGGAGTAGGTACTTGCGAGTTTTTTTTTTACTCAAACACGATCTGTTCTTGCGTACACTTCATCATGCTAGATGTTTTTATTGAATGTTGACGTGTAATGCTGTTATTATGGCCAAAAAACAAACATAAACAACTGTTTCGTATTTAACTTGCTACAATAACGACATGAAAATACTCTTACTTACTGACGTTGAGTCCTCACAAATACTTGCAGTTGAATTCAAAAAAATCATTTTACGAAAAATGAAATATGAATCCCAGGTACATGATCATATCGTGGTGCAAAAAAAAACGCAAAAAAAAAATCTGAACACAAAAATTAAATTTCAGCGCCTTCATAAATAACGTTAGCAAATCTCACCGGTGCAACAACACAAAGATTAAATAGTGCTAACAAAATAGTTGCAGGAGCATAATACTAGAAGTGTTTACTAACAATTTAACTTCGTCGGTTAAACTAGTTTTACTACGGTAGTCTCATGTTGATTGTTATTGTCTAAGATAACTCAACTATGTCCAGTCTTAAACTTAATTTCAGTTTAAGGAATACTCAAAATACAGTTAAGTTTAACGAGGTTCTTAAACTACGGTGAATTTACTTTTAGAACACGGATAGATGGATATTTTAAGGGTAAATAAACATTATCTTGGATTAAAATTTTATATTCACCATTCAGAACTACGTACCTAAGCTATTGTAGACTTTTTTGTTTATAAGATTTTAACTACATAATTAACTTATAGTTGGATTGTGGTCTTTAGTGTTGTTTCTCTATAAGAAGACTATCGAGGTCTCGAGTTTGGACCAACTGATTGATTGTTTGTTTTAATTTATAATTTTTCACTACTTTAAAGTCTTTGTTTAAGGAGTTAAAAGTAACCATTTTATCAATTCATGGAATAGTAAAGTCCGATACGTTGGACGGGTCAGATTCGCACCACTCTCAACACTACAGTCCACGATGCTCTTCAGTCGGCGAGATAGAAATAGATGGCGGAGAGTAATACGCAGTACACTGCTTCCAGGAGGTGGTCACGACCCTTAGCACTGAGGAAACTGACGCGAGGAGGAGGAGGAGGAGAGAAATAGTAAAGGCCGATTAATCCTGGTGAGTGTCCAAGACACAGCAGCTCATAGGTGACGTAATTTTTGCATTGCCTCAAGTCAGTCTGCAACCTGGTACTCTAACTAGACAATTGTTCAATTTGCCATAGAGATAATAAAGATCTAAGGAACAGCAATATATTTAAATAACAACTCTCTTAACTCCATAGATAGCTTTACGGCTGAGTTTTCGCAGTAATGATCTAATATATTATTTTTTTATTTGTTATATGTTATAAGTAGTGGGTGTTAATGTTATATCTAAGTCTATTTCCGATATATATATTCATTTTTCTGAATAGTATTTATGTAAGTGTCTAAAATATATATTATAACCGGCAGAGACTGCCTGTGGCATGACCTACAAACGTTTGTGTAAAAGCTTGAATAAGAAATTAAATAAATATCTTTCCATTCATCAAAGCTAAACTTAACAAACAGATTGCTTAAAGATCTATAAGCTTCATCAATTTATTCGACAATCGAGATTAATTTATTCGTTCCTGGTAAACAATTCTCTGAACTATATTTAGAAGACTCATTATCATGGCTCCAAAAAGTCCAGTTTATGACAATTTATTTTCAGCAGCGTGGGACGAGTTAATTTCAAATTTAAAACATCCTGACCTTTCCCTATAGATTTATTCAGGGAAACTTTTAGCGCCCATGTAAAATAGGGCTTTGTAGAAGTCTTGAATCGAGATCTTTTGTTTGTTATTCAACAACTGACTTAAATAAAATCTATCAACATTCTACGATCTCCCTTTTTTATTCAAGTGAAAGTTTATATTATTATTAGAGGAGAAGTTTGATTTAGATTTTTTGAATTCTCGTTTATTTCAAAGTTTAGTTTGGATGCTGTAGATAAGTACACACATCCCTAACACTTTGTCAAAGTCAAAGTCAAAATCATTTATTCCAACTAAACCACAAATAGGTACTTTTGAAACGTCGAAATAGAATAGTAATCAGTCATTCTGTTCATCAGTAAAGCTAAGTGCTAGGTTGGTGCTAGGCTATGGTAAGCAAATAATAGTCTATAACATGAAAATTGCAAAAAGGAACTTCTACTATTACTAAGTTACTTGAGGGGAGGAGACAAAATAAAGCAGGCAAATAATTAATATATAAAAACAGCCTTTATTAATTTCAAATTGGTACATTACAATTGCACATCGAAATAATTTATTGCCTTACATTCCTAATCTACTATATTCACTTTGACCTGTTCCAAAAGTTTTGATTTACTTCTGCTTATTTTCTTATACTTAGGATTCGCTTTCACTGATCGCCTTATACTACTTCTAGTCATAACTCTGTCGAAAATTTCTTCACTCGTATCTTCGCTGCCATCATCAGAGAAATGATTATTCATACTATCGTTTGATTTGTTGGCTCGAATCACTAATGGCTCAATACCTCCATCTGAGAATATGGCTTCATCAGTAATAGCCCTTTCATCATCACTGGGCGACTTATCATTACTAGTTTGCCGTTTGAAAAATCTTTTGTCTGCAACTGGTACTTGTAGTTTGTTCTTTTTATCTTCTTTTTTCTTTGAAGCTTCTCTATTTGATGGTTTGTATTTGATGGGTGAGAAGTCAACCCTTCTTAGAAAACTTATCGTATCTCCAAATTTTCTACTACATTTTCTCGTAGTTTTAACTTCGGGTTTTATTTCTTCAGTTTTGCAGTCATCATTGTCTAATACAACACCGGAATCGGAATTCGAATCAACCATAATATGAATTTCAGGTACGCTAATCGAAAATTCATTAGATTGCAACTGTTTAGTTAGTTCTTCTATTTTCTCAGCTTGTTTCTGTATTATAAGATCCTTTTGTGCTAGTTGTTTTGTAACGGATTCCGTTCTCAGTGCTAAATTTACTTCGTATTTTTGCAATTCACCCGATAAGAATTCCAATTCCTTTTTCCTATTCGATTCCAATTTCTTTATAACATCAGCTTGTTTCGCATATGCTTCTTTCAGCCTCACGACTTCTTGTTTATGTGTCGTGTTCAGGAATTTAATAATGTTTATTGCCTCTTGAAGTGTCGTTGGCTGCATTATATTTTCTTTTGTAGCTTTCCCTGACATTATTGCCTCCATTTGGATCTGTAAAGATAAAATGACACACATTAATTGTGAACACTTTGTATCTAGGATTGCGCAACATTTTTTTTATTTATTTGTGTTTGTGCAATGGGTCATTATTTATTAATTAACGACCAATTAGTAACGATCTTTTATCAATGTGATAGCAAGATATAAGCAATTAATGGGAAGTAAAAATTGCGTAATACTATTGTAATTTGTTTAAAAACATTTATGTACATATTTAAAAGGTTAAACCATTTTTGTAATTGATTTTGTAAGTAGTCGTCCTATTAAATCTTGTATATATGGAGAATATTGTTACGTACTTTCCTAGAAATGATTTAACACCTAAAAACAAAAGATAAAATAAACTACACCAGTTTATTCTATGAATCTTTGTTATACTTTAAGTACATTCCTATAGGTCAACTATTAATAGAAAAATCTACACGTGACTTGCCGTAGACAATGGTCTTATAACTAAAATATTGCAGAATAGTTTATCCTATGCTGTAATAACAATATAACTTTAGTAATAACAAGTTATTGTTCGTAGATGGACCTTTTTGCAACAAAAACATTATAATGTTCTGTTTGAAATACTTCGTCTAATGTTTTCGTTCTTGTCAGCTGGGCTCGCTCTAAGTATTGTTTAGGATTACAAGTCATGAATATTATTATACCTTTGCAAGGGGTATGTCAAGAAGTGATGGTATCTTTTACATCACAACGGAGCCATCTTATGGTATGATTTTTGCGTCTTGAGATAGTTTGGACTCCTAGCTGGAGTATGAAATAGACTACTGTCCCCTTTGCACCTTAATGGAATAAGGAACAAAGTGCATTTCACCAAAATGTAGCACTTATCTCATTACCTTAGAGGTATAAGGGCCAAAATGCTTACAGACTTAAGCTATTACGCTTCTAAAGGTGCAGAAATAAGACCAGCTGTAATAACGCCAAGATAAGTGTGGGAACCAGACTCGATACAGTGTAAAAAAATCCAGTATAACGTTATAAGAACTGGCGCTTGCTATGGAACTTGTACTAGCCAAAGACAAGTTTGACAAGTTTACTCCAAAGACAACGGGACTTCGACTGACGATTATTCCACTATCCCAGTATACTTAATGAAGTGCATTCAATTAAAATGTCAATCATATCTATTTTTAACAGGATGGATGAGAGACACTTCTCATTCGGAACGAAACAAGTTTTTGAGTGTGGGAGAGCTATGTTTCGCACGACCAGACTCATACTACGGCCTAACATTTAAAAAAAAAACTTTGCCCCACTTTAGGATTTTCTCCTGTATTGTTTACGCGTTTTACTGGCGTTTACAAACATACAATTTCAAATACACAACACACCCAAACCCGGAACAACAATTTGTTGATCACACAAAGTGTTGTTCCGTGCCCCCGACACGTTGCACAGCAACCAGTTGCCCAGCCACCGCGCCAACCGTGCAGTCGTCAGTACAAAATACCGGCGTGAAAAACGCTTTCGATGTGTTTCGCCATCTAATTCATTTTAGTGGGAGCCCAATCCTCCCGTACCTTATCCCAATCCTTAATTTCACTAACAACGCACAAAAGACTGGCCACGTGCTTGTAACTTCTTTAGCGGTTATGCTTGGGCCACCCCGTCTCGCCTAGGGCGTGAGAAGTAATTGGATGGCTTTTCCTCCTAAAAAAGGTCCTTATGGTCTGCAAGCGCACTTGTGACCACTTTATAAGGAGTTTTAGTAAGTATTAAGACAATTATGCTTATTATTTATATGTTATATGTATATTATTGATTATAATATACTATACGTATAACTATGATTGTTCATGTCACAAATACAGATAATATTTGCTACTACTGGCAGCTAATAGGTACATAAATATTTGTTATAACAATAACCCACAGAAAGAATGAAAGAAGAAAGAAAGGTACTAAGTTATTAACATTAAAATTTTAATTGCTTAGTTTAGTTATAGTATTCAATAGTTAGTATAGCAAAGGGGCTAAGCAAATAAAATACTGACTTTAATATATTATTACTATTTTATTTTATTTATTTAATTTAATTTTATTATAATTAGAAACTTAAAAAAAAAAGATTTCTCGCGAATTATGAACGTAACGTAACGAAAGAATATAAAAAAAGCCGTACTCTCTGTCATCAATCCTAAGGAAGAAAACGTTACTAAGCAATATTTTAAGCAATCACTTATTGTCTCAGAGTATAGCAATTGTATCAACAATTACTGTTAACACCTAACTAGGTTTTGTTTATATGAAAGCACATTCAGAAAAAAAAAACAAAGCCAAAAAGATAATTTGACAGCATTTAGAGACGGATAAGGCATAAAACCTTTTTAAACAACTATTTCCCATACGTTTTTACCTTTATTTTTTCCCTTTATCGGTACCCAATTTGTTAAAGCACAGGACTGTTAGACAGGTGAAAGAAATATATGACTGAGAAAAGTCGCTTTTGAATCCTTTCAATTGTCTTTAAGATAAGACAAATACCAACGAACATTTTTGTTCGATTTAACGTACTGGTTATAGTTCAGTTCGAATTTTTGCTATCTGTAGATGGCGTGGTTGTCGAAAATGGGCAGTTTTCAGTTCTTAGTTTGGTTTTCATTATTTTTTTTATTTGAATACAATTGTGTTTCAAACACCTTTTCTATTCTGTGTCGTGGTTGAGTTTACAAACACATCTAAAACGATAAGTTATATAATTTCATACCCGACATTCAAACCGTGGCATGTTGGACGGCAACCAGTTGCCTATATAGCCACTGTGCCAGCAGTGCAGTCAGTTAACTGCTTTTATTTTGAAATTCAGTACCTGTTTTAAATTGCGTAATGTTCATAGTTTATAAAGAAATTAGGATATGAGGTACATTCTTTGAATGTCAATCACCTAATTATGATTAATTTTCAACTTCGATGAGTTCAAGTACATAATGGCTTTACGTCAACGTATTATGGCCTTTGTTAAAAGTCTCTTATCAGAATTACGAAATATATCAATAATTGAAGCCATAAATTTTCAAAATATAAATACAAATTTTAATTATTCAAAATAACGATTTACTTAAGCAAACAAATAAACCGAGAAAACTCTATAAGTTTCAAGTCCCAACGTGTCTGTTAATCATGAGCGTGATAAATCAATTTAACTTACGATAGTAATCAAACAAAAAAATGTTGTTTTATATTTTATGCTAAAATAAAGACTACGAAAAAGATAGAAAAGAAAACTGTGGCTAACATAACTATTTGCTAATAGAATTATTATTATTATACCTATCCACTACCGTAATACCCACAGTTCCTATTATTATTAGAGGTACTTAAACTAGAGGCAGGATATAAGTGTCACAGCCTAGATTAGGTTAATCCGGTATATAGAATATTATACGGGAGATTACAGTAATCCTATAAAGAGAATTGGGATAGTGTGGATACTATCGACAGCTTGAAAGACAATATTATTAATCTGATGAATTACTACAAAGCAGGCTAGATTGATGTTCATCTGGGGTTGCGGGACAAGCGCAATAAGAAACCGCAGGCTAGGCTAGAGCAGGAGAATGAACGGAAGGGGCGTTGCCAGTAACAGTCTGACACTCCTTCTCGCCCCTCAGAAGTCATTGATCTCCTCACAAAAAAGACAGAAGTGAAACATAAATATCAGCTAGTATATATTATGTCCACTGCTGATCAAAGGCCTCTCTTAATACGAAAAAAGTTTGAGCAATATCACGATTATCATCGTCAGCAGCCCCTACGTGCCCACTGTTAGGAAAAGGACTCTTCTCAAATGGTGAAGGTTTAGGTTCCCTAGAAGCAGCTTACTCAAGGTGGGTTGGCGATTTCACAATTATATTATATATTGATGATTGATGAGATGATATGATGATGAGTGAGAAGTGAGGGTCAGTGGGTCGTCTTAGGGGCGGAGTGAGGGAGTGTCAGACTCTTAATAACACCAAAATACACTCCGTTGTTCCTCTTTTCCCAAGTTAGCTTTTCTAAGTATTATTTACTACAACTATGATTTTGAATATTAATACATAGTATAAAACAATGTCGCTTTCTCTGTCCTTATATCCCTATGTCCTATGTACATAGGTATATAAGGCTTAAATCTTTAAAACTGCGTATTACAATGCAGTTTTTTTAAATTGATAGATTATTTGAAATAGAGGTTTTATATTATGTATATTAACATGTACTAAATAGTGGAGAAATTCAGTATACGCATTGTACCCACGCGAAGCCGGGGCGGGTCAAAACAAAAGATTATTTAAAAAAAATTGAATAACAATTGCACCCATAAATTCTGAGAATTCCATAACTGAAAATAAATCACTAAATGTGTCGAGAAACGCAAAACTCGAAAACCGCTGTACTTATTGTAATAATGCTTTTGTGCTCGTTATATTATATGTATTATAATCATAAAATGTAAACATTCACACGCGCATTTTTAACTTAAGTACTAATATAAACCACCTCTTTAGATACGATATAATTATAGAAAACAGCTGACGATAAATATAATTACGAACAACAATCTTAGCTCAACCTTTTTAGAAACGCAGTTACCTATAATAATAAACTAGGATGGCAGGTTAAGCGCAATATACCCGATAAACTTGAGTCAATTAGTTATTTATTTATAACTACACATTAATTTTATCCATCCACCACCAACATAGAAAGAAAGTTGTAAATATTGTATGTACACTAGCTACTCTCGCGCGGTTTCACCCGCTGCTCGGCTCCATTTAATCGGGGCATGATGTTTTATAGCCTATACCACTCAGGAACATTGTTGATATCTATCAGTGATAGAATTTTGGAAATCCGACCAGTGGTTCCAAAGATTACCCGCTACATACAAACTTACAAACATACAAACTTACAAATTTTACCTCTTTATAAAATTAGATTGAAAAGACAATATAATCAGATCGAAAACACGACACGACTATGTATTAAAA